GCTTATATGAGCTTGGTCAGGGTGATATTTTTCAACAAAAGTTTGCACCTCATTCCACTTTGCACACATGTCCTTAATCACTGAAGCAGGCACCTTCTCCCCTCTCTGTTCCTCCTCCTCTGAAGCAATTTCTTCAGCTGCAGTCTGTTGCTGTTTCAGTTGAAGGTCTTGCAGCTCTTCAGTGGTTAGCTCTTCCCTGTGGTCTTCCACCAACTCTTCCACATCCTGTCTGCTCACATCCAACCCTATGGACTTCCCCAGAGAGACTGTACATTCAACAACAGGCATAGGGTTGACAGGGTCAGCCTCATACCCTTCAAAATCTTTGTCGAGGACACATTTTGGGCACAATATTCTCCAAGGAGAGTTCAAAGTCCTGGAAGTCAATTCCTGCCAAGCCTTACCTATAAGGCTTATGCATTGGAGGATATTGAAGTGATCCCTCCAGAACTCTCTTAGTTTCAATTCAGTGTCTGAGGTCACTTCAAAGCACCTTTGAAGCATTGCTTAGGTGTAGAGTTTTTTGAAGTTAGAAATGACCTGCTGGTCCATGGGCTGGATGAGAGGAGTGGTGCTAGGAGGCAAGAACTTCACTGTTATAAAACTGAAGTCCCTAAACAATTGGTCTTCCAAGTCTGGAGGATGAGTAGAGCATTGTCCAGTACCAGGAGGCACTTGAGTGGCAATTTATTTTCCAGGAGGTATTTTTTCACACTCAGGCCAAACACTTCATGGACCCAGTCAATGAAAATTTGCCTCGTGACCCATGCCTTATTATTAGCTTTCCACAACACACACAATTTACTCGTGACAACATTGTTTTTCTTGAACACTGGGATTTTCAGAGTGATACACCAGTAAAGGATACACTTTGAAACCCCCACTAGCGTTACCACAGAACAAAAGAGTTAGCTTATTCTTCATAGGCTTGCTTGTGTCCTGGCAGTGCCTTTTCCTCCTGTGTGATGTAGGTCTTCTTTGGCATTTTCTTCAAAAAGAGGCCTGTTTCATCACAGTTGAACACTTGTTGGGGGAGGAATCCTTCAGCCTCCACGTACTCTTTGAATTCATCAACGAATTCTTCGGCCGCAGGTTTGTCTGAACTTGCAACCTCACCATGCCTTACAACACTGTGTATGCCACTGTACTTCTTGAATCTGTTGAACCAGCCTCTGCTGGCCTTAAATTCACTAACAGCAGCACTCGTTCCAGGCATTTTCTTTACGAGATCTGCATGCAACTGCCTTGCCTTTTTGCAAATGATCGACTCCGCAGCACTATCTCCTGCTAACTGTTTTTCGCTGATCCACACTAACAACATCATCTCCACATCTTCGATTGTTTGTGATCTCTGTTTCATTAGTATATTCACCCCTTTCACATCTTAGCTTCCTTGATTTCTACTTTCTTTGCCATGGTGGAATAGACTGTTGATTTAGACTTCTCATACATCCTGCAAGCTCGGCTAAACGTACCCCACTTTCATATTTTTCTTCAATCTCTTTCTTGAATTCTATTGTGTTTCTCTCTTTACCAAAGGGCTGGCACTAGGAGCTTTCTTTGGGCCCATGGTGGCTTACTTCGCAGTCGCAGTTGATAAACAAGCACAAAAATTGCGAAATGTTTTGGATGAATGCTCACTCAATCAGTGACAGAGCCAGACTGAGGCGGCATCCTGGCAGGCGGATGCGTCTGATTTACAAATTCCCGGGACAAGGTACAAAATCCAGAACAAAATTTTGCCCAAAAAAGTGTTCTAAATCTGAAACGTTCAATATCTGGTGTGTGTGAAATCTGGGGTTCCACTGTATTCATATTCGACTTAGGATATTTTTAACTTATGATGGGTTCATCGCAACGTAACTCTATTGTAAGTCAAGGATCACCTGTAGTTACGATTGAGGTTGAAATATGTACATCTCTCTCTACCTATTTCAGTTATCTGTAAATAGTTTTTCACTTTCCATCAATGCTTATGATAAAGAATAAAATTGCACAATATCGTGACTGGAACAAGACAAAAATAGCCCACACATAGGAGAATGAAACTTTTGATGACATTTCGTATGACTAGTTAATGGTCCAAGTCAGACCTAAATGTCGTCATAAGTTTCATTCTCCTATTTGTGGGTTATTTGCATAATGTTTATGATACAGGAGGGCCCCACTTATACGGCAGGTTAGGTTCCAGGCTACCGCCGTAAAGCGGAAATCGCCGTAAAGTGGAACACCCTTTTTTTCCACTTATAAATGCATACAAACACTAGATAACAAGTTTACACTAACATATATTAAGTTAGCAATAGAACCAGGCATCAAAAAACAATAAAAAGGTACAATACACACATAGTGCACTCATTACTTACCTTAAAATATTTATAGTCTTAATCTAGGGTGAGACAAGTAGTATTTATTGTAAGAAATCAAGTGTGGTATGTATTGTAATAGCCTCACCAGGCCACCCCACCCACACATACTATTCTATGATATTTAAGCATCCCAGAGCGATAAAATGTATATACAGTTCACTCATTACTTACCTTAAAAATTTGTAGTCTTAATGTAGGGTCAGGAGTAAGTAAATGAGATAAAACGAATAAATGAGAGAGAGAAAGAATGAATACATGAGAGGGGCAGGCGCAGTTATGTAAACAAACCAGGGGAAGGTAAGTTTTGTAAACAAACGAAATGTACACGTCTGGTTTGTGTACAAGTTACATTGTGTACAGGTTGTCTCTACATTGATACGGTAGAATTAATAAAGAAGAACACTCCCATTCTCATGTAACATCATTTTGAGAAGAAATGAAGCTCTGAGTGAAGGCAATGGAAATAAGTCACACTGACTTTTTTGGGTTATCCTAGGTTCTCTACACGTATGTTGTTATGTATGATAATCTATGTAACTGTATTTGTGTATACCTGAATAAACTTACTTACATACATACGAAAGGAATAATTTTCTACAGTTACCCCCAGTAACACATTTACTCTTATGTTAGATTAGAGAAAATGTTATTCTTGCCGTCACTTGTACAAGTTATGTGGCTCCCACATCTTATATTTATGTTTATTTATTCTATTGTGGGGTGTATTTATCATCTTTTTATGTTATGTATCGTGTTTATTATATAATTTTGAAAAAAATATCATGAATGGATTAATGAAAATGTGTATATTACCGTAATATACGACATTTAATGAGACTTCGGTATTGTTATTATCACCACTTGTGCAAGTCGTCTGCTACGACATCTCACATTTGTTTATTTATTCTACTGTGGGGTGTATTTATCTATTTTATATGTTATGCATCGTGTTTATTATATAATTTTGAAAAAAATATCATGGATGGATTAATGAAAATGTGTATATTACCGTAATATACGACATTTAATGAGACTCAGTATTGTTTTTATCACCACTTGTGCAAGTCGTCTGCTCACATCTCACATTTGTTTATTTATTCTACTGTGGGGTGTATTTATTTATTTATATGTTATGCATCGTTTTATTATATAAATTTTGAAAAAAATATCATGGATGGATTAATGAAAATGTGTATATTAACGTAATATACGACATTTAAATGACTCGATGTATGTAAGTTTATTTAGGTACAGGTATACATAAGTATAATTATCAGAGTATATATAAAATATGAAATAACTTTTAAAAACATTTGAAATTTTGGAGTTTCCAGACAAAATGGAGAGACTTAGTGCTTACTGAGCTCATGGAGAATGTAAACAAACAGGGTGGGGCACGGTGACCGTATTAGAAAGTCAGGTGGGGGGAGCCGTATAGTGAGTTTTGGTCATAATTTGAAATGTCCGTATTAGCGGAACGCCGTAAAGCGGAACGCCGTAAAGCGGGGCCCTCCTGTACTTGACTCCAAATATCTGCTTATTTGCTTAATGTACTGCTTTACCTTACCTTATGTTAATAAATAATATCTGTGTTGCAGTATTGTATTTCATCTACTGGACAGATTTTTTTCTCAAAAATTTTCATGCCTGAAAAGTATAGCATTCTTTTGTGAAAGAATATTTTAAGACATGTGATGTACTGTATATTTACAGTTTCTGATTTTCAAGTGTGAGTTTGTATAGTTTTGGTTCAGCTGTTGCTTTATACATTTGTACACGTATGGTATACAATACCGACAAGATGAAGAATTAGACGCACGTGCAACATCTGGGTGTCTTTATTTTAGACATGTCACCATCCATTGGCTTTATCTTTACAAATTCAAGGGCATAATAGGAGGTAATCAGTCCCCTCAGCCTTTGGGGTTGAAGAGTACCTTAGTTTTGAGCCATCTCAACTCCAAGTCAGAAGGACTGATTACCTCGTATTTTGTATGTAGTTCCCACAGTCTTCCCAGTATGTGCCTGAATTTGTTTGATAGAGCACTTGATGGCATAACATCTACAATAAAGATACCAGATGTTGCATATGTCTAATTTTTCCGTTATACAGTCCCTTTAAGAGCAGCATTCAGGGAAAATAGACAGACATCTATTTAAAAAACTTCCTTGTATACGAAGACCAATTCTTTTGTAAGGAACAACTGAAGGAGGGGTGTTGATGTTGCAGTTTAAAAAAATGTAGTGTAAAGCACCCTTCTGGCAAGACAGTGATGGAGTGAATGATGGTGAAAGTTTTTCCTTTTCGGGCCACCCTGCCTTGGTGGGAATCGGCCAGTGTGATAATAAAATAAATAACTATACAAAGCACTCATCTACTTAGGTAGGCTTAGTTCAACCCTACCCATTCTACACAAACTTAACGGAAAACATTTGACGAGTACATCACTTATTGCTCATTCCTGCCTTTAGATTTTTCCAGTACATACTAAAAGTGATAACATAAAATTATGGGAAAAACTCCATGTGTAATTGCCTCTTATAGTGAAGTGTTAATGTGAATAACAGTATATTAGGTGAAGATAAAGGCTATGCTTATTTTAATAAGTAAATATTCTTCTCTTATTGCAGGTTTCATCTTGGGGTGGGTATGTGTTCCTGATCAACATCATTCCTCTGCACGTGCTAACCCTGATGATCACAGGGCGATTCTCCCACAGAGTTTACGTGGCTTATTCCACACTCTACGTCATTGGTACCATCCTCTCCATGCAGATATCGTTTGTTGGGTTCCAGCCTGTTTCCACTTCTGAACACATGGGGGTATGCATTTTCATGTAGTTGAGGATTGATTTTTTTATTTAGTACTATATGTTGAGGTAGTTTTTTGTTAATGCCATTAAATGCTTCAAATTTTTCTCAGTTCTTCAAGGACATTTTGAAATTTTAGTACATACAGTAAATATTCAATTTAACGAACTCACAGAGGGTCGCACATGGTCAGTAATGGCAGTTGTGGTGGAGATGGTTTTTGTGGTGATCTAAATAATGGACATTTCTGTAGCCAATGAACCCAGTTTGTAGTTTTCAAATAGACTGACCAAGTGGATTTTGTCTCATATTTCTGGAGTCCTTTAAAATGATGTTTGTAAAATCATGGGTTTATTGTAAATGTGCTCACATAAAGGTTCAAATACCTCATTGCTGATACAGTAACTTACGATTGTATATAAAATTGTGCATGTATATAAGGAAAGACTACAGTGATGAGGATAACAAATTTATGTAATGAAAGATTGGATATCAGGTTGGAGGGAGGAAGTGAATGTATTCAGATATTTGGGAGTGGACTTTTCAGCAGATGGGTCAATGAAATATGAGGTAAATCATAGAATTGATAGGGGAAAAAAGGTAAGTGATGCACTGGGGAGTCTGTGGAGATGAACATTACCCGTGGAAGCAAAGAGGGGAATGTCTGAGAGTATAGAAGGGAGGAAGTGTAAAATAAACTCAGTGGGGAGCAGGGGTGCAGTGGGGACAATAAGGAAACATTGTATCAACATCCGGGGTCCCAGACTATTCAACATCTTACCAGAAGATATCAGAAACACGGCTGGAACAAGTGTAGAAGCCTTCAAGAGGAAACTGGACAAGTATCTTCACCAGGTGCCAGGCTGTGATGGATATGTGGGGCAGCAGGCCTCCAGCAGCAACAGTCAGGTTGACTAGGCAAGCACCAGAAGAGCCTGGCCCATGGCCAGGCTCCGAGAGTAGTCAAACTCTTGGAGCTCCTCAAAGGTATATCGAAGGTAATGCTCATATATGGGTGTGAAGCATAGGTGGTAAATGTTGCAACAAGGAGAAGGCTGGAGGCAGTGGAGATGTCATGTGTGAGGGCAATGTGCAGTGTGAATATAATGCAGAGAATCCATAGATTGGAAATTAAGAAGGTGCGGGGTTACTTAAAGTACTATCCAGAGGACTGAGGGGTTGAGGTGATTTGAACATTTAGAGAGGATGGAACAAAATAGAATGACTTGAAGAGTGTATAAATCTGTAGTGGAAGGAAGGCAGAGTGGGGGTTGGCCGAGGAAAGGCTAGAGGGAGGGGGTAAAGGAGGTTTTGTGTGCAAGGGGCTTGGACTTCAGCAAGCTTGTGTGAGCATGTTAGATAAGAGCGAGTCCCCTCAAGGAAGGTTCCTTGATGTTGGTGAGGGGCTCTTGATTTAGGGAATTGGAACTGTGCTCCAGTTCCCCGAATTAAGCCTGAATGCCTTCCACATCCCCCCCCAGGTGCTGTATAATCCTCCAGGTTTAGCGCTTCCCCTTTGATTATAATAATAATAATATGACTTACTGTATTGTTGGAGTGTGAGCAAAGTAACATTTTTGAAAGGATTCAGGGTAATCGGCAGGCCGGAATTGAGTATTGGAGGTGGGAAGTACAGTTCCGGCACTCTGAAGGAGGGGTGTTGATATTTTGCAGTTTTTTTTAACTGTAATGTATACATGCCTTTGGTAAGACAGTGATGGAATGAATGATGAAAGTGTTTCTTCTTTTCTTGTTCACCCTGCTTTGGTGGGAAACTGCTGATTTTTTTTTTTTTTTCAACAAGTCGGTCGTCTCCCACCGAGGCAGGGTGACCCAAAAAAGAAAGAAAATCCCCAAAAAGAAAATACTTTCATCATCATTCAACACTTTCACCACACTCACACATTATCACTGCTTTTGCAGAGGTGCTCAGAATACAACAGTTTAGGAGCATACACATATAAAGATACACAACATATCCCTCCAAACTGCCAATATCCCAAACCCCTCCTTTAAAGTACAGGCATTGTACTTCCCATTTCCAGGACTCAAGTTAATAAAAAGAAATCTGTCCTTGATTGATGTAGAGGCTTCTGAAGTCAACTTAACCTAACTTTGCATGGTGTCTTCATTTGACCTTGAAAATATTTTAGACAAGGTTAGGTTTCCCCAAATTTTATATAGAAAGTCAATTTCAACCCAGCTAATATAACATGACAATGGGGGTTACTTCTGCTCTCTGGTATGTTTTCTGTATTTAGTAAAGTTTTGTTTCAGTGCTGATATCACTTAAAATTATAATGTTGAAAGGAATGAGAGAAGAGAAGTAAGAAAGTAATTAATAAATGTTTTGGCTTTTCATAATCCTTAGGTCATCACAAATATGCTTATGAGTTATATAGCTGCTTTCATCAGATACTCTAGCATAACTAAACCAGGTTTTTATGTGCAGACAATGGCAGATCAGTGGATTGATTTGAAAGAGGTAGTATTAGTTTGGCTCCTATAGATGCAAATAGGTAAACACAAATGTATATTGCATTCATATTGTACATGTATGGATGTGTTCAAAATAACCACTGTGAAAAATAGTGAATTTCCAAATGCTTTTTTGATTGCTCACAGCTACTTGAAATGTATTGAGAAAAATCATGAAAACGATTGAAAATTCACTATTTTTTCACAATGATTATTTTGCGTATTGTAATATCACTAGTTTACAGTGATCTTATTGCATCATATGAATGTGTGTATATAAAGGAATGGAAGCATATTAAAGTTCTTTTATGTTTTCAGGCATTTGGTGTGTTTGGATTGTGCCAGATACATGCTTTTGTAGACTACGTGCGTTCCCGCCTGAACAAGATACAGTTTGAGGTGCTGTTTCGGGCTGTAATCTCAACCGTTGCTGTAACAGGAATATTGGTGCTGGTAGTGCTGACAGCTATGGGCAAGATTGCACCATGGACTGGAAGATTCTACTCTCTTCTAGATCCATCATACGCCAAGAACAACATCCCCATCATTGCCTCCGTGTCTGAGCATCAGCCCACAGCCTGGTCGTCATTTTACTTTGACTTACAGATGTTGACATTCATGTTCCCCGTGGGTCTATATTTCTGCTTCACTAAACTTACAGATGAGAACATTTTCATCATTCTTTATGGTGTTCTCAGCATATATTTTGCAGTAAGTACAATATGTTGTGATACAACATATACGCATAATGTACTCTTAGGAGTTATTATTTTGGGACTTTGTAGCATTTAGGATCCTAGTGTAGGTGATAGGCTCTTTGCTTTTATGTGTTTTCACTATTGTAACTGGGTGGGAGTGGGGCGAGCTGAGGATGGCAGTTGTTAGACCAGTCAGATGTGAAAAATTGTCTTGTGATACTGACAAGATATGGAAATGACACTTATGTACAGTTGGGGACTTGAGTCCTGGAAATGGGAAGTACAATGCCTGCACTTTAAAGGAGGGGTTTGGGATATTGGCAGTTTGGAGGGATATGTTGTGTATCTTTATACGTATATGCTTCTAAACTGTTGTATTCTGAGCACCTCTGCAAAAGCAGTGATAATGTGTGAGTGTGGTGAAAGTGTTGAATGATGATGAAAGTATTTTCTTTCTTTTTTGGGTCACCCTGCCTCGGTGGGAGACGACCGACAAAAAAAAAAAAAAAAAAAAAATATATATATATATATATATATATTAATGGAATATCCTTCAAGTGGTGGGTGCCTTGAATGCAGTTGGCTCTTGATCCAAGGAATTGAAGATATCCTCCCTCTTTCTTGGGTTGAAACTGATTACCTCCCATTCCCTAGGCATTGTATGTTCCCTGTGGGTTTAATGCTCTGTTTACCATTTTTCTAGTTTTTTTGTGAACTGAGAAATTGGATGAGATTTATCTTCAATAAGATGAAGATAAATTATCAATTCTGAAGATCAGTTTTCTGTTTTATTGGAGATATTGGCAGTTTGGAGGGATGTGTTGTGTATCTCTATACGTATATGCTTCTAAACTGTTGTATTCTGAGCACCTCTGCAAAAGCAGTGATAATGTGTGAGTGTGGTGAAAGTGTTGAATGATGATGAAAGTATTTTCTTTTTGGGGATTTTCTTTCTTTTTTTTGGGTCACCCTGCCTCGGTGGGAGACGACCAACTTGTTGAGAAAAAAAAAAAAAAAAGAAAAAGTGATAGTCTACATATTATAGCTGAAAATATAGTAGTATGTTAGAAAATGCCTCCATTTACACTGAAATGTCAAAATATGCAATACAGCAATACCTTGCATAGTATGGTTAATTCATGTCGAAAAAATGTACTATGCAATACTGTACTGGTCAAGGTATTAAGTGTTTTAATGTAATGTGTTCCAACAATACGATTAAATGCGTTGGATTGCAAAAACATGTATTATTATTATTTTAATCAAGGGGGAAGCGCTAAACCCGGAGGATTATACAGCGCCTGGGGGGGGGGATGTGGAAGGCATTCAGGCTTAATTCGGGGAACTGGAGCACAGATCCAATTCCCTAAATCAAGAGCCCCTCACCAACATCAAGGAACCTTCCTTGAGGGGCAAAAACATGCAGCCATTTGCTTAGTACAAATCAGTTTACATGAAACTTTTGCACACTTGCAAATAAAGAAGTTACCAAAGATAATGAAAAAATAGTAAAAAAAAAAAGGTAATTTTTACTTAGAAAAATAGTTGAACAATGTAGTTGGCACAGTTTTTCTTTTTTTTTTATCAGCATACATATCTTTATAGCATGGAATTTCATTTTGTAATGCCTGCCTAACGAAAATGCCTCATTCAGTGTTTGGATCTGCATTCATTATGAAATCACAAGTATCTTCTTCTTTCACAATTAACATTGATAGTTCATCCATTGCAAATTCTTTCGTTGGCAGTACAAGTGTACTCAATATTGTTTATCTGGATTTTAGTAAGGCTTTTGATAGAGTACCACATCAGAGACTTAAAGAAAGTGGCAGCTCATGGCATTGGGGGAAAAGTGCTGTCATGGATCAAGTCATGGCTCACCAATAGGAAGCAGAGAGTATGTATAAATGGGGTTGTCTGAGTGGGGATCTGTAATAAGTGGCATTCCACAGGGATCAGTTTTAGGCCTGTTGTTTATAATATATATCAATAATTGACGAGGGAATTACTAGTGATATGAGCAAATTCACTGATGACACGAAGATAGGTAGGATAATCGATTCAAACGTAGATGTCACAGAACTTCAGGAGGATTTAGACAAACTCAATTCGTGGTCAGAAAAGTGGCAGATGCAGTTCAATGTAGATAAGTGCAAAGTTTTAAAGCTTGGGAATGTTCATAACCCTAGTGCTTACTAACTTAATAATGTTGACCTTAGCTGTACAGAATGTGAAAAGGACTTGGGGGTTATGGTAAGCAGCAACCTTAAACCTAGACAGCAATTCCTAAGCATACATAATAAGGCAAATAGATTATTGGGATTTATATCAAGAAGTGTAAGCAACAGAAGTCCAGCAGTTATACCACAGCTTTATACATCATTAGTAAGGCCTCACCTAGATTACACAGCTCAGTTCTGATCTCCATATTACAGATTGGATATAAATTTGTTAGAAAACATTCAGTAAAGAATGACAAAATTAATACATAGCATTAGAAATCTTCCGTGTGAAGACAAATTAAAGTCTCTTAAATTACATTCACTTGTAAAACGAAGAATGAGGGGAGACATGATCGAAATGTATAAGTGGAAGATGGGTATTAACAAAGGGGATATAAATAAGGTCTTGAGGATCTCTTTCCAAGAGAGAACCCGCAATCTGCTTAGTAGGGTTATTGAAGCTTAAAACCTTGGGTAGTTTCAAATTTAGGTTGGATAAATACATGAGTGAGAGGGGTTGGATTTGAGTGGGACTTACACATGTGTTAGTGGATATATCAGAACTCATTGTTAGGGTAGAACTAAAGTGGGTTCGACAAATATTCAGTTAGTGGGTTGGATTTGTGAAGGACCTGCCCAGTATGGACCAACAGGCTTACTGCAGTGTTCATTCTTATGTTCTTATGACTCAAGAAATCGTAATGACACGGTGTAGAAATATACCTAGTTGGATGAATCTTATTGTGGCTAGCTGGAGTTTTGAGACTATGACCGCGGGTTCAATCCCGGCCGGGGGTATGGTTTATGTTCTTATGTTTTAAATGACATAAATTTTAAATATTTTTAAAACACATGAAAAAAATCACAAAAATATGCAGTCCTAGCTGTAACCACATCTACTTGCAACCTTTGAGACAGTGAGTAGAAAGAGAACACGACCAGTCAGGTCCAATTTACGTATTGTACATGACTTATATGACTGATAGTATGTGCTGCAAATGTTCAGTTGCAGCTAAATTGGATGATATTTAAAGATAAAAATACTGCCAAGCACAAGAAAACTGAAGAACCATTCAGTATACAAAGACGAACAATGGAAATCAAGGACCAAATGAAAATAAGTCACTTGACTTTTTTTGCTGAGTTATCCTAGGTAATTTACACACATCTTGCTATGCATGATAATTTGTGTAACTGTATTTATGTGAACCTGTTCCTAAATAAACTTAATAATTTGAAACCGTAAGTGATGGAGTAGAGGAACAGAGGGAAATAGTCTTGTTTGCCGTAAAATGTGGTAAATAAAATTTATATTATTAAATTTATAAACCATGTTATATCAAAACCTGTATTTTTCAAACCGTACTGTTCAAGGTATTCCTGTATCGATTTTTATGGACTTCAAATATGATTTTTTAAAAAATAAGTGATGTATTGCAAAATATATTTACAGGGTGTGATGGTGCGTCTGATGCTTGTCTTAGCACCAGTGATGTGTATCCTGTCAGGTATTGCTGTGTCTTCGATGCTCTCTACATATATGAAGCAAATTGATGATGTTAAGACAGAGAAAAAAAAAGCCAAATTTGAAGGAAATTACTTTATGAGAAGTGAGGTGGGTTGTCTTAGTCATTGCACATTTAGTCACAAAATACTTATAGCAGAAAATTGTGTACAGGAGGGGGCACTGCTTATACAGCAGGTTAGGTTCTTCTTTCAAATGCATACAAAAGCCTCATAACATGTTTACACTAGTTCTAAAAAAAATGCATGTACAGTATATTTGTTACTTACCTTAAAATATTTACGTCTTTAGCTTGTAGTGAGTGGTGAATATATTTATTGTATGTGTGAATAAATGAAGAATGGGTATAATTGGAAGCTGCTGTAAAGTGGGGCCTGCCTGTACATGTTTTGCTTTATTATAGTAGATTACTGTATATTTGAATAGAAGTATAATTAAAAAGAAATTTTACTATATGACAAGCATTGCACATTTTAAAAGATTTTGCAAACATGGCATGAAAACAAGAAGTTTGTAAGAATTCCATTTTTTAACAGATTGCCACATTTTTTGTGTGTGTGATGTCAGTATTTTTGGTGATGTATACACTGCATTGCACCTGGGTAACATCTGAGGCATACAGTTCTCCATCCATTGTTCTGTCTGCCCGTGGTCACGATGGGTCGAGAATCATATTTGATGACTTCAGGGAGGCCTATTACTGGCTGCGTCACAATACCCCTGAGGTGTGTAAATTTAGAATTTTTGTTATCTCTGTCGAAATTGTCAGATAATATATGTGACTGAATATGATATACTGGATATTGTTTGTAATAGCTTTTTTCTTTTATTTTAATGTGCAACATGGATGATGAACTTGAATATTATGGCTATTTTCATGTTTTTCTCAGGATGCAAAAGTCATGTCTTGGTGGGATTACGGATATCAAATAACAGCCATGGCTAATCGCACCATCCTCGTGGATAACAATACTTGGAACAATACCCATATATCCCGTGTAGGTCAAGCCATGGCAAGTACAGAAGACAAAGCCTATGAGATTATGCGAGAGCTTGATGTAGATTATGTTCTAGTCATCTTTGGAGGTCTCACTGGCTACTCTTCTGATGGTAAGGCTAGAAAAATGGCATTTGTTTTAAATTGAGCAAGGAGTAATGGGGATCAAACCATGGTATAGCTGACATAGTCATGGACTTGTAGGTGCCAGGTTGCTGGTTCAGTCCTCAGTACTTTTTACACAACTTTCACATGACAGGAATTTTGTTTTGCATAAATAGCATAATACAAATTGTTCTTTCTGATCAAATATGGCAAACCAAGGAATGGGTGGGATTTGATCCAATGGAGAATGAGTCTTCAAACTCCATCCATTCTGTGGTTTGATTGCAATTGTGTTATTAAGATTTCATGAGTCGCACATGGCAACTAAGTTGCACATTACTGACGGTATATAATATCGTTGAATTGATGAATGAGACATAGTGCAACACTTAAGTACCTTTATTCTCAAAATATTTTGCATTTGCATGCACAGCAGGCTTCTTCAGTTGAAATGCAGGTCAATGTTACACTGGAGACAGGAGGGACCGATCACTTCAAAATTAGAGTAAATTCTTGCTATAATGAACTTCTGAAATAAAAGATGAAATCCATTGGGTTAATTGTACATTATTTTTTTTTTTAACTGGTTGTATCCCACCGAGGCAGGGTGACCTAAACAGAAAAACTAGTTTCTCTTTTTAAATTTAGTAATTTGTACAGGAGAAGGGGTTATTAGGCCCATGCTCCCGGCACTTTAGTTGCCTCTTTCAAGACGCATAGTTTACAGATGAATTGTGTTCCACTTCCCCATGGAGATAAAGAAGAACAAGAACTACAGCCTCTCCTCATTTAACGACAGAGCTCTGTTCCTAATACTGCATCGGTAAATGAATTCGTCACTAAATGAGGAGCATACTATAATGGTTGTGGGTTTGTCGACCATCTTTGATATTGCTTTAATGTCGCACTTTCACTAACATTTTTAGTATATTTTTAAATGTTTATAGAGTAGTGTACTGTATATTGTAATAAACATGATAGAGGAAATCATTTACATTAGGTATGCATACTGGTCAAAGAGCCCGTTGCAAGTCCGAGTCGTTGGTAAACGAGTACGTCGCTAAGTGAGGAGAGGCTGTACGTATTATGAAAATTGAAGAAAACCCAGATGGGTAAGGATATATGTGCATGTTTATGCATGTGTAGTGTGACCTGAGTGTAAGTAGAAGAAGCAAGGTATACCTGTTATCCCATGTGTTTATGAGACAGAAAAAAAGACACCAGCAATCCTACCATCATGTAAAACAATTAAAAGTTTCTGTTTCACACTCGGCAGGATGGTAGTACATCTCTGGGTGGTTGTCTACCAATCTACTACCTAGGAATTGTACGTTTAACTTTTTTATTTTAATTGCAGTGTATCTGTATATTGTGTGTACAGTACTATATTAGGTATACAGTGGCGTACTGAATGCTTTTCTTACAATTTTTCACCATTTTGATTTAATGGAAACTCGGAGAATCCTCTTAGTTTATAATATCGAGAGTTTGCTGTACATGTGTTGTCTCCAGTAGAATTGCCTTTATTTAACTAAAGACGACTGCTGTGCAAGCAAAATATTTCGGCAATAAAGATACAAGTGCAACATTTGGGTGACTTGCTTATCTACAGCAACTAAGCACTTGATGTTAGCAACTTACCAGCATTTTCATTGCTGTTCATCTGTTCATACTAATCATGAAATATTTTGTGTTAAAATATTACTTTCATTAAAACAAGGTGTGATATATTGCAAGAACCATCAAAACAGTACATAGCATGCCAAAATAAATTAAACTAGCAGGTGGTCATCCATTATTATTGTTTAATTGCCAAATGTATCCAAATTATTTAATTTGAGTAAACCAAAATCTTAAACGTGCCTTTTTAACACATTGACCGTCTTCCACTGAGGCAGGGCGGCCTGAGAAAGATTTTCTTTTTAACATTTAGCAATGAGTAGGGGTTAGCTCTTTGCTCCCAACATGCCTTATGTTAAAATTTTTATAGAAGAATTATCTTCAGTTTAGAAAAAACTGGACAAGTCTCAGGGGGAATACTAAAGTCATTGAGCTCAGCACCTGCAGGAATTGGAGGCATTCAAGTTCAATCCAAGGAAAGGGAGGGCAGGTCCAGTCCATTAGATTGAAAGCTCATTGGCATTGCTAGATGGTACTGGGCTACAGCCAGAACTAAGATCTAGTGTTCATAGCACTGGTCAGTTAGATCTAGGTTTTGTGATGAGTTATAGTTCCCATTGATTTATTTCTCTATTTGTTGAAAGTATCACACAAGACTGTTAAGGTTTAATTATTTTATTCACAGATATCAACAAATTTTTGTGGATGGTGCGTATTGGAGGAAGCACCGAGAAGGGCGGCCACATCAAGGAACACGATTATTACACTCCAGCTGGGGAATTCCGTGTTGATAAGGAAGGCTCGCCAACGTTACTAAACTGCCTTATGTACAAGATGTGCTACTATAGGTTTGGGCAAGTGTACACAGAAGGAGGTAATATGATTTGCTCTTCATTCCACTTTAATTCGTTCTCCTCCCTCCCTTTTCAACCACTCCCTCTCCTTGTCATTCTGCTCTTCTTCCTTCCCTTTCTCCTTTCCACTCTTCCTCTTTCCCCCTTATCTCTCCTGTCTTTTCCCTACTCTTTCTCCTTTTCATTCCCTCCCCCTAGATAATCCTTTTCATTTCACCTCTTCTTTCCATTTTCTTCCTTTTTTTTCCTCTTTCTCTCCTGTCTCTTCTACACTTTTCATTCTCCTTTCTCTACCCCTAGGGGAGGGGAGAAGGGAGGTAAGGGGAGGAAGGGGCAAGAGAGGAGAGGCTAAGGAGGGGGGGAAGGAGTGATGGGAGAGGGGGGGAGAGGATGGATGGGGAGGGGGGGAGGGCTCCCTCTCCCCTCCTCCTGCCCTTCCCTCCTTCCCCCTCCTTCCCTCCTCCTCCCTTCCTCCTTCCTCCCCCCCTCCTCCCCCCCTCCCCCTCTCCTTCTCCCCCCTCCCTCCCCTCCTCCCCCCTTCCCTTCTCCCCCTCCCCCCTCCCCTCCTCCCCCCTCCCTCCTCCTCCCCCCTCCCTCTCCCTCCCTCCCTCCTCCCCCCTTCCCTTCCTCCCCCCCCCTCCCCCCCTCGCCTCCTCCTCCCCCCTTCACTCCTCCCCCCTCCCCCTTCCTCCCCCCTCCGCCTTCCTCCCTCCTCCCCCTCCCTCCCTCCCTCCGTCCCCTCCACTCCCTCCTCCCCTCCTCCTCCCTCCCGTCCTCCCCTCGCCCTCCCCGCCTCCCCTCCTCCACCCCCCCTCCCCCTCCCCTCCCACCCCTCCTACCTCCTCCCCTCCCCTCCTCCTCCCCCCCTGCCTCCCCCTCCCCCCCTCCTCCCCCCCCCTCCTCCCTCCCCTCCCTCCCTCTCCCCCTCCCCCCCCCCTCCCCCCTCCTCCTCCCCCCCCCCCCCCTCCTCCACTCCCCCCCTCCCCCCGCCTCCCCCCCCCCTCCCCCCTCACCCTCTCCCCCCCCACCTCCCCCCCCTCCTCCCCCCCTCTCCCCCTCCTCCCCCCTCCTCCTCCCCCCCTCCCGCCCCTCCTCCCCCCCCCTCCTCCTCCCCCCCTCCCCCCTCCTCCTCCCCCCCTCCCCCCCCCTCCTCCTCCTCCCCACCTCCCCCCCCCTCCCCCCCTCCCTCCTTCCTCCCCCCCCTCCTCCTCCCCCCTCTCACCTCCCCCCCTCCTTCCTTCCCTCCTCCTCCCCCTCCCTCGCCCCCTCGCCCTCCCCCCCTCCTTCCCTCCCTCCTCCTCCCCCTCCCTCCCCCCTCTCCCTCCCCCCCCCCTCCCCCGCCCGTTCCTTCCCTCCCTCCTCCGCCCCTCCCCACTTGTTATACTTATAATGTACATAAATGAGCATGCATAATTGCACCTCAGTAGTAGATCTGCTCCTTTCTTGCCCAGGTAAACCTCCCGGCTACGACAGGGTTCGCAACGTTGAAATCGGCAACAAAGATTTTGAACTGGATGTTCTGGAAGAAGCGTACACGACAGAACACTGGATTGTTCGTATTTACAAAGTTAAAGACCTGCCCAACAGAGGCGCCTAGAGCTATATTTTGAAATAAAAACTAGTAAATATTCAGTAGTACAATTTTTATACTACAATTTCCAGTGCAGTATTTGGATTGATATTTGTTTACTGTTAGTCTTTGTTGATGGTGCTTTGTTTTCCCCACTTTTGGAATATTCTTCCGACATGGTTGTGTAAATATACTCAAAATATATTTTTGATTTAAATATTAACCTCCATACATATTTCAGTAATGTGTAAAGGATATATCTAAGTGTGGAAAGGCTCTTTTACTTATGATTTGCCATAAATCCTTTATCACTTCAAGCAATATTTGCTTTTACTCAAGATCATAACACTATTGCAAATTAACTGTGTACGAGTTTAAACTCTGGCAGAAGACTGAACAATTCTGGCCAGTGTGCAAGCTGCTGGCCCAGTGGCTTACACACTAGCCTGCACTTTGACTTGCTTGCCAAGAGTTCTAACACCTCACCCATACCATAGATTTGGCTTGCACAAGCTAGCATATTTCTACATGTGAGCCAAGCTTATGATTCACAAATCATCTGCAGCCATAAAGGAAGACGTAACTAATTCTCTAGAAAGAAGTACACTAAAATGACTGTGATATCATTTCAGAAGAATGTCCAGAAAAGTTGATATTTTGAATTTTTTTTTTTTTCCGCTGTTGTATCTACAGTTCATATGGTAATGTGTTTTTGGCAGAAGGATATGCCAATTTAAGGTTCAAAGTAGGGCACAAAAATCAAGGGTTGCTATAATTAACATGTCCTCATCTGTCTTTAGAAAGGGAAGTTTGTTTTGTAAAAAATGTGTGAGAGCATTCCAGAATTGCACTAAATATGCATTTAATAAAGTAGTAATACCATATATCCTTTTAATTACCTATTTTTGTGGAATTTTTTTTTTAAAGTGGACTTTTCCATCAAACTGGCCGTATCCCACTGAGACAATGGTGGCCTAAAGCGATTATAATATCAAAAAGAAGCGCCTAAAGCCACAAGTGACTATACAGCCTGCATGGCAGAAGGGAACGAGGGCAATCAATGTGGAAAAAGGAGATGGACGAGTAATAGGTTTACATAACAGCGGGGCAGTGTATGGTGAAAGGGTAAAGGGCAGCAAAGACTGAACTAGAAAGGGCTGAGTGAGTGCGAAAGTAATCATCAGAGTTTTGGAGTCAATCAATCGTTGTCACGAAGTCAATGAAGGTCAGATTTAAAGGAGGGTCCATCAGCAAGAAGGAAAGGAAAAGAAGTAGAGAGTAGTTAGAACGAAGACGACGTGGAGGAGTAAATTCTGCGTGCCTCGTTGATAGAGGGGGCAGTCAAACAGAATGTGGCCTAAACGATACTGGACTTGACACTGCTCACAGAGAGGATCAGGGTGGCCTCTCCCTGAGTTACCCATGAGTAAGACGAGTTGACCAATGCGAAGGCGGAGAGAGTGGTCTCCCAACCTCGGTGTTATGCGAAGGATGACAAGAAACGGCCAGTAACCTATCTCGGTTTTAATAAATAAAGTTTGTTTACAGAGTCCAGAGTTGACCAACGTTGTTGCCAACGGTTGCGAAGGTGGGAGCTATTGCAGCAAAATAAGTACCAGAAATGGGGAACACCCTCGATAGGAAATGGTAGGTGCTTACTGCTGACCGTGCAGCAGTGTCTGCCTGTTCAATTGCCCTGTAACGTCGACATGACCAGGGACCCAAACAAAAAAACAATATCTTAGTGTTTGGTAGAGATACGGAGTAGCCAAGAGAGTTGATACGTAGAACTAGGGGGTGAGATGTAACCAAAAATTTCCGTATAGCCTGTAGAGCACTAAGGGAGTCTGAGACTACTACAAAAGATGACACAGGCATAGATGCGATACGAATAAGTGCTGCAAGAATGCATACAGTATTTCAGCAGTAAAAGTGCTAGCTGAAGAAAGGGTAATGTCCCCGCACGTCGCTGTCCCTCGAAACACTGCTGCGAATCTGACCCGTCTGAAGACTTAGAGCCATCTGTTTACATCAGTATCGGTGGCATGAGAATGGGAGTGGAAAGTGATCAAGAAAAGAGAGCGGGAAGCCACCGTAGGCAGTTGAGCTTTTCGAGCAAGGAGTTGAGAAAGAACAACCCCAACAGCTGGAACTTCCCAGGGGGGTAGGGAATAGTGAGATTCTACATGAACATATAAAGGGTGGAACGGAAGGGAAGACGAGTGAATGAAGGCGAAAGAGAAAAGGGACGAGCAAACAGGGCGGCGAACGATATAAAGAATTCTAATATCGGTGACATTCTATAAATGGAAGGATTGTGTAGATAGAGCGTACATAGTAGCGAAGGCAAATGGGCCATCCGCGATCAGACCAAGGATGGTAACATTCGCTCCTGCATAGAGGCGTCTCAACAGGGGAAGAGCAGAAAAGCACCAAGGCATAAACGTAATCCTTGGTGATGAATGGGGTTAAGGCTAGAGAGAGTATCAGGAGAGCCGCTGAATAAAATCTGGTCACCAATAATCGAGTTTTCGATAAAACGAGGCTGAATGTAGGCGAAGCTGAGTTCGACATCAGCTCCCCAGGAAAGATGAGCAAGGGTTTAAGAAGGTTTAGCCGGCTGTGACAAGTTGCCTTTCAAGAGAGGTTAGTGAGTTTTCCAGATAACCATGGTCAAAGAGAAGCCTAGAAACCTGACTATCACTTCGGGATACGGGAGCATAGAGATCAAAGGATGGATCGGAGATAACAGAGCGTCCAGTGAAATGTAATTTGGTGAGTTTTTGGTCCTTGAAAATTTAAACCCATGCTGGTGGCCCAAGAGGAAACACAGTCGAACCCGCATGCTGGAGAGAAACTGCAATAAGATGACAGTCTGCGCCTGCCACAAGCAATATCGAAGTCAATCAGACAGAGTATGACACCAAATATTGGTGGAAGACCAGAGCCAAATACATTTATAAGCAAGGAGAAAAAGTGTTGTGCTTAGAACCACATCCCTGAGGGACACCTTCAGCTTGGATGAAGTCCGGGGAAAGAACATATGTGACCTCGAACACGAAATGTCTGTCAGTTAAAAAGTTCTTAAGGAAGGGATGGTTAGATTTGCCTCGGAGGCCTAAGGAATGGGCCTGGGCCAAATATTATACTCCAAGTTGTGTCATATTATTTATATATAATCAAAAAGAAGCCTAAGCAATCAAGGGCTATAACAAGCGCAGTGGGCTGTGTCATATGGGCCTTCTCAGGTCAAAACATATGGCAATACGAGAGTATTAATCGCAAAGCATTACGAACATACGTATCCAAGTCGAAGTAAGGGGTCTATGGTAGAACGACCCTTACGAAAGCCATATTGACTAGCGGAGAGACCTAATTGAGCGTCTCTAAATACCGCATTAAATGTCGATTTACACGAGACGTTCCATCACTTTGCAAACTGCACTAGTAAGAGCGATGGGGCAGTAGTGGAGGGACATCATGTCCTGTAGTACCCGGTTTGCGGAAAGGGAGAACGATGGCGAGATTTCCTCCACAGCTGGGAAGAACTCCTTGCCCAAATAAGATTGAAGAGGTGTAAGAGGACTACAAGGGCTGACCAATGTAAAATGTTGTAAAATAACGAATATGAATGATCGTCAGGCCCAGCTGCCGATGATGCGGCAAGCTGAGTAGCGTTGGGCCGCCAGTGGAGTCTTGGGGAGGCTGTTGTCGAAGGCGGGCACATTATACTGTTGCTTCTGTGCAGTGCGGATGAAGGAGCAAGAGTCTCTCTAGTTACGTTCAATCTTCGCTGAAAATCAGTTAGGCGGAGACTGTAGTGAGAATGTGACAAACAGCTTGAACAAGGGGCAATATTACTCTTACTTACATTACGTTAAGTTATTATAAATCAAGGGAAGCGCTAATACCCGGTGTATGTGTGTCTCAGGCGAGGCGGTTGTGACTTGGTTGGACATTCAAGGATACATCGGTCTATAGCGCTTAATTCGGGGAACTGGAGCACAGCTCCAATTCCCTAAATCAAGAGCCCCTCACCACATCAAGGAACCGTTTTTTCCTGAGGGTCGTACAAGGACATAGATGGAGCCCTCGGGAAATACGGACCGAGATATGTGCCAAGTTCAATGGCAACGCCGAGAGGTTTGCTACATCAACACCAGCGACCCGTAGAACAAGACTGGGTCAGAGAGTAAATTACCACTCAATTCCTCACTTCTTTCCAGCTGCACTCCATAGAAGATGCAGAGGTGATGGTGAAACAGTCTCGCCAACAAGTGGCGTTTAGCTTTAAAAAAACACGGATACACGGCGAGCGATCAACCCCACGCTTCCTGCTTAAAATCAAGTCCTCTCAAGCGTTCTATTGTACCGTACCTGCCCTCATGCAGCACTTTCAAACTACTGCACGAGCACAAGCAGGAGACCACCATGCAGGGGGGGGGGGGGCGGGGGGGGGGGGGGGCCCCCCCAACCCCCCGCCCCCGCACTTCTGAGAATGCCTGCCTGAGATTTGGAGGTATAGAATGAGAAAGCTGCAGATTAAAACTGACTTCGAGAAGATGGTGTAGGAGCCATCAATGGAGATGAAGGAACCTCACTAAAAGCAGTGAGGAGTGAGTAAAGATCCCAATTTGCCATCAAATTGCCAGCGAGGGCTACGGAAAGGTGGGGATATAGGAAGGAGAAGTAAAATGATCGCAAAATGATCGCTGTCATGTAAGCCTGGTAGAACAGACCAGTGAAGTCTAGTGCAGTGGGAGGAAGAGCATACTGAAGATCGATGCCAAGAGAGATATGAGTACGAGGATCTAAATGGGTGGAGTACCCGTATTTAAAACATGAGTGGGGCGAGAGGCGAGAAAAGCCTCAACTGAATGCCACGTGATCACAATGAGACCCCCCCCTCAAAGAAATGGTGGCAAAAAAACCACCAAGTAACAAAGTGTGGTGGTAAGGATGAAACAAGAAAGGCAAAGTCTGGGATAGAAAATGCTCGAGAATGAGAGAGAGATAAAGCACATATGTAAACCACTTATTCAAGTGGATACTGGCTGCAGTGTAATGCAGCGAGTATGGACAAATAGTTACAAGTACAGAATATCATGAGTATAATTAGAAGGCACTATTCCTTAAGGTCCCAACTGAGAAAGGTCCAAAGATACAATAAATGTATAGCCTGTGATAGGTTGGAAAACAGCCGA